CAAACCCACCAGCCACTCCTCGGAAGGAAGATGGGGCAATCTACTTCCGTCGTGATACTGCCTCGGAAACCCAAGGAGGGGTCGCTATGAGTCGTGGCCGACTCGACGGCATATAACAACAACAACAACACATTACACATTCTGATTATTAATTGATACTTGCAGCTGTTTCTTCTCATTTTGAGCCCCATCAGTGAATGAAGGTCCAGAAAGCTTTACTCCATCCATGTCATCAAGGTCAGCTGTACTTGGAGCAGGCAGCCCTTCCCCAGTCGTATTTTGCGTGCCTTCCGACCTGAAGGGCCCATCTTCTCGCACCACAGCAGACAGCGCCCCACTGCTGTTTGTAAACTTTTCACTGGCCACATTTTTCAGAAATGCATTGCCAGGTCCTTTTTCCTAGTCTTTTAGTCCGAAAGCTCTACTGAAATTTGTGCACTATAGGTGACCCTGTTGACGTTTGAAATACCAGTGGCATGGCTTCCAGCATCACAGAAACATACAAGCCAGGATAGTGTGACAAACTTACAGATATCAAAAACGTAAGCTTGAAACTGTTGAATGGGTGTCACTTTTGCCGCTTATACTTTCTCTAAAAATACAATAAAATATATTTTTCAATGTATTTAAAACAGTGAGTCACTAGGTGCAGCCCACACTTACAGGAAGTAAATGACAAGAGTACACGAATACCAGAAGGTGGGGATCATGGGGATCACTGTCTACCATGCTGTTGTTTGGTGCCATCGAGTTGGCTCTGACTCATGGTGACCCCATGTCCAACAGAACAAAACACTGTCCAGTCCTGTGCCAGCCTCACAATCCCTGCTATACCCGACCCCCTCTGTTCTGGTTCCCTACTGCTGCTCTGACAGGAATATACCACAAATGGGATGGCTTGAAGAAACAGTTTATTCTCTTACAGTTTGGAGGCTTTAAGTCCAAGTTCAAAGTGTCAAGCTCTAGGGGTTGGGTGAAAGCCCCTCAACCTTAGGCTTCAGCTCCACCTCCTGCTCCCAGCCCACTGAAGCTGGAGGCTTTTCTTCCCTCAGCTGCTGGCTGCTGAGGCTGACAAGCCCAAGATTGACAAGTAAAAAGGCACAGTCCTGTTGTTACCAAACCACATAGCAGGCCATTAATTTAAGTCCATTGAAAGTCCCAAGGTCAACAGAGCACGGCAGGCTGTTGAACAATGATATAGCTATACGCAGGGTTCAAGCGTTCCATAAGCTAGAGACTGTTCCCTAAGACTTCTGCTTATATACAGGAAGCAGACCACATCCCTAGGGCAGCTACTCAGCTGCTCCCAGTAGATTCCACCATGGAGTTGATGACCAGTCTCATCATGGAGAATAACTACATCCAGCTGCCCAGCCACTCAGCCAGGCCCAGCCAAGTTGACACACAAACTGAACTACCACACCATTGTTGCAGCCACTGTGTAAATCCATCTTATCGAGGGCCTTCCCCTTTTGGTTGACCCTCCAATTTACTAAGCAAGATATCCTGCTCCAGGGGGTGGTCCTTTCTGACAACATGACCAAAATAAGTCAAATGAAGTCTGGCCATTCTCACATCCAAGGAACATTCCGGCTGCACTTCCTCCAGGACAGATGTGTTAGTTCTTTGGCAGTCCACGGGACTTTCAGCATTCTTTGCCAGCACCACCACTCAAAAGCATCAACTCTGCTTTGGTCTTCCTTATTCACTGTCCGGCTCTCACATGTTTTTTTAGGTTAGGCTCACCTCAGCCTTCAAAGAGGTATCTTTGCTCTTCAGCACTTTAAAGAAGTCTTTAGTAGCAGAATTACCCAATGCAATATGTCATCTGATGTCTTGACTGTTGCTGCCATTGGTGTTGATTGTGGAACCAAGTAATATGAAAACTTTGACAACTTCAAGCTTTTTTCCATTTACCATGATGCTGCTTATCAGCCCAGTAGTTTGGATTTTCGTTTTCTTTATGTTGAGATGTAATCCATAAAGCAGACTATGGTCTTCAATCTTCATCAGTTAGTGCCTCAAGTCCTCCTCACTGTCAGCGAGCAGAGTTGTGTCGTCTGCACATCGCAGCTTGTCGGTGAGTCTTCCTCCAGTCCTGATGCCGCATTCTTCATGTAGTCCAGGTTTCATCATTAAGTGCTTCAAGTCATCTTCACTT